AAGCCGTGGCTGCCCGCGGCTCTGCAGAGCCGTGCGCGGCTCTGTGCGGGGGTCGGGGTGCGCTCGGGGTGTCGGGGGTGATGTCCGTGCACACTCGTGCGAGGGGAGGCCACACGTCCTGCCACGAGTGCGAGGGCTGCACGATGCACTGCAGCAGCAGCTCCAAACTATAACACAGAGAGGAAATGAAGAGCTTAGGTGAAGGGCCTGGTTGTTGCACAGATCTGGTTAAAACCCCGCTCAGAGCACCTCGTATTTGCATCATTTCTTTATCTGAGTCATTTTGCCTGCCCTTAGCCTCAGCAGGGAAGGGGGCTGTGCCATGGGAGGTGGGTGTTTGTGTCCTCCCTGGCTGGCTGAGCCTCATGGTGTGTGTCCCAGAGTGTGATGGAGGAGAAATGCTGGGGACATCAGCAAATAAACTGCAGGCTGTATCTGCGTTGCCCTGAGCAGGGGCAGGGTCTGAATTCAGGGGCAGAAGTTCTCCCTGGCACCTGCAGGGCAGAGGAGAGCTGGAGATGCTTCCCACGTCCTGCACTAGCACCAGCCGTCCCGGTGAACGAGATTGGCCATGGGTCCCAATGAGCTGCAGCCAGGCCAGTTACTGACAGGGTTTTCCACAAGTTTCTACTGTGGAGCAAGGTGGGATGGAGGTGCTTTGGGATCCAGAGACCTTTGCTGAGGGGCTGGATAAAAACACCTGGCCCTGTGGCCCATGGTGGTAGCAACTGGCTGGTGTGAGCACTGTCAGTGTGAGCACCACCACCGTGAGCACCCTGCTCCCACAGCCCTGCTGCCCAGGCAGGTCCTGGTGCACGGACCGGAGCCCTCTTTTTCCGAGCCTCAGGCCATAGAGGTGCAAGGTCTCTGCTCTCACTTGGCTTCTTCCCCCTCCCCAGGATGCGCCAACCTCAGAAGAGCTGGAGCAGTTTGCCAAGGACCTCAAGCACAAGCGCATCATGCTGGGCTTCACGCAGGCTGACGTGGGGCTGGCTCTCGGCACCCTCTATGGTAAGCACCGTGCTTCCCATGCCCTGTGCCCCGCATCATGGCCGGGAGGACTTCCCTAGAGCTGGAAGGATTTGAGCCTGGTGACAGCAGCAATAAACTGCTTAAAATAGCCACAGCTGCTTTTCGAAGGGTGTTTCAGTGCTTTGCATCCGTCTGAAGCAGCAGGAAGAAGGTGCTCAGCAGATCTTTGTGCCAGAGGACAGGGCTCCTGGGGGGCCAGTGGGGAGGTGTGGGGAGGACCAAGCTCAGAGATAAGGAGCTGCAGTAACCAGGGCCCCTGTCTCGCCTGCGCAGGGAAGATGTTCAGCCAGACAACCATCTGCCGCTTCGAAGCCCTCCAGCTCAGCTTCAAGAACATGTGCAAGCTGAAGCCGCTGCTGCAGCGCTGGCTCAACGAGGCGGAGAACACGGACAACATGCAGGAGGTGCGGGGCCAGAGCCGCCTGCCCGTCCTGGGCTGGGGGGCTATGCACGGGCCGAGGAACAGGCGAGCTGCAGTTCCTCCTGCCTTGAAAGAAGGTGGCTTTGGGCAAGTCCCAGCTTGCCAAGCTGTGGAGGGGGACCCGTATCTGCCGGTGACCAGGTGATGCCCTGTGCGAGGCTGGCAGGGGAGGAGAAGGGCCTTCCTTTGAGGGAAGTGAGACGGAATTCCCAGCATGTGCCCCTTGCAAAAGCTTTGGTAGCTCCCTTGGAGCAGCCGAGTATTGCTGGAGCCTCCAATGGCAGGGAGTGGCAGGACATCGGGCATGGCCCTGGGCATGGTGGGATGAAGCTTGAGAGCAAAGTCTTCTACTGAATCTCCTGCATCTCCCCTGGAAAGCAGTTGCTGTGAAGGACAGGATTGTGCTGACAGACATTCCAGGGACCTGAGGGTGTCCCATCCCTCCCTGGGCTTTTGCATGCCTCTCCGGAGGCTGGGAGGGTGCTGCCAGCCCTGGCTGCCCATGACTGAGTGCCGAGGCCTCTCTTTGAATGCAGAGCAAGTGTTGGCTCAAGCCCGGAAGAGAAAACGCAGGACCAGCATTGAGACCAACGTCAAGGGCACGCTGGAGAGCTTCTTCCGCAAGTGTGTGAAGCCCAGTCCCCAGGAGATCTCCCAGATCGCCGAGGATCTCAACCTGGACAAAGACGTAGGTTTGGCAGCGTCCGGAGGGCAGGGGGCACTCGGGAGTTGGGCAGCGGTGGTTCCTTGGCACCCCCTTCAGGCTGGAGAAATGTTTTCTTTTGGATTGGAAACCATCCTCCCTCTGCAGCACAGGGGTAGCTCACCGCGGGGCGTTCACTTTCTTGCGAGGGCGAGGACATGGGGGGCGGAGGGCAGCGCAGCCGCGTGTGGCCACCCTGGCATTGGTGAGAGACGGGGATAGGGAAGTTCCTACCTGCCATCGTCTCTCTTTGCATCAGTCTGTCCACCTGGATTCGTTCTCCATAAGGGTCTGGGTCACCTGGCACGTGCTGCTGCTAGAAGCAGGGGATGGAGAAGGGTCTGAGGGGCAGGAAGGTCCCACTGGGCAGCGGGACGGGGGTGGGTGTCTCCTGGCTGGTCTGTGCTGAGCCGGGCAGGAGCAGGGTGGGCATGGAACTGAGCTGGAGGTCAGGGTGCCCTGGGGCTCTGCAGATCCCACCGTCACGAGGGCTTTCCTGCCTCCAGCCTGGAGCTGGAGCTTGCTGTGCTCACGGCCCCTCGTTCCTGCAGGTTGTCCGGGTCTGGTTCTGCAACCGGCGCCAGAAAGGCAAGCGGCTGCTGCTGCCCTTTGGCAACGAGGCGGAAGGGGTGATGTATGACATGAACCAGTCGCTGGTGTCTGCCGGCCTGCCCGTCCCGGTGACGTCCCAGGGCTACAGCCTCGCTCCGTCCCCTCCGGTCTACATGCCGCCCTTCCACAAGGCCGAGATGTTCCCTCCAGCTCTGCAACCCGGGCTCTCCATGAGTAACAGCAGCCACTGAACCAGGGGCTGCGGGGGCAGTTTGGGGGCCGGGGAAGGCGCTCCCGGCGGCTCTGCTGGTTTCCCCAGCAGCAGCTTCCTCCCCTGGGCCCGGAAAGGCGCGTGGCTCTGGTGCCAGCCCGAGAGCCTGGGGGCGGGCAGCTGTTTTCTGGCTATTTGGTGCCCAAGGGGCAGAGGAAGGGCCGGGAGCAGGGCGCAGAGGTGGTTCCTGCCCTTCCCAGTTGCTCCTAGCCCTTCCCAGCTCAGGTGAATTGCTGGTCCCAGCGCTCCCTCCTCCCTCTCCCTGGGGGGACAACTGCTCCTTCCTCACCGCGACCTCCCTGCCTGGCCGTGCCCAGGGCGCTGAGCGGAGCCACCTGGGCCCGTTCCCAGCTGGGCTGAGCTGCTCTCCTGCATGAACCGTGCAAGAAGCATTTTAAATTTGGGGTTTAAGGGGGTAGGGGTGGGCAGGGTTTTATTTTTATTTCTCTTTTTTTCTTCTTCTTGTAATTTTGGTTGTATTTCTAGTTTTTAAAAAGCAAAACTCCTTCTTAGCGATCTCCTAGCTCCCCAGCTGCCCTTTCCCTGCCACGCAGAGCAGGGCCACGGACACCTGGGATGGGGGACCCCCCGAAAGGCTCCCCCCATTCTCCTGGGCCTGGGGGACAAGGAGGTGGCAGAGGGGTAGGGTGTCCTCCCCAGCTCGGGTGCCCCATGTCCCTCTGTCCCTGGGACCTGTTTCACTTGCCAGCCAGAGTGCGTCCCCCCCAATCCTGCCTGTCCCCAGGGGAAGGGGCTGAGCCCGGGCCCGCAGTGAGGCCACCACTGTCCTGCCATGTCACTAGCGCCCCTGCCTTTGAGCTTGCTGTAGTTAATGATTTTTTCCCCCACTTCCCTTAATCATATTCCCTCTGGCAATGAAATAAATCTCAGTTCTTTGGGGCATGGGAGCAAGTCGGCCCTTTCCTTGCCCCCGTGCTGCAAAGCGGCGGCGGGAGGCAGCGGTCCAGAGCCCGGGTTTCCTCTTTCCCCGTTTCCCCTCTTTTCCACCACCCGTTGCACTTGCAAGTCAAGTTGGGGGGCACCCAGATGGTTTCCTCTCTGCTGGTGTGTTTTAGTGGCCACATGGACCCGGAAAAAAATGGAGAGAGAGGATGCAGGTGGGCATCCATCGGCGTCTGGACAGAGACTTGCAGGATGCAGCTTGTCACGGCTGTGCCCTCCCTAGGACACAGGGTCTGAAGATGAAGGGTCACCTGCCAGCCTGTTTTTAAATTGCCTTTCCATCTCCATAATCATTTTGGGGAGGAGGGAAGTTCATCGAGGTCTTTTCCCTCCTGAACAAGCTGATGATTTGCACACGCTGGAGGGGATGACAGAGCTTCTCAGTGCAGCCTGGCCTGCGCCTCCCTGTCCACAGCAGCACACACGAGTCCCCGTGGGGTTTTTTCCTGGAACAGAAATGCCCGAAGCTGTCATGCTCCTTGCCCTGCAAAGCCCCCTTTTTCTTGGCAGCCCCTACATTGTGCCCCTGCACGCTGCCCAGCCGGGGTGGCCGTGTCCAGCTGTGCCCGCGAGCAGGAAGGGCGCAGACCTTGCCCAGAGACAGGGTGATGCTGAGGCCGGGGCAGGCAGGAGGCACCGGCTGCACGGCGGGTGCCATGTGTCCCTGCTGCTGTGCAGGTGTCCCCACGAGCTGCTGGCCAGGGTGAGGGGAAACCTCCGGTTCCAGGAGTGGGGTGGGCTTGGGAGCACCCGTGGGTGCCTGGTACAGCCTGGCGCTGTGTTGTCCACTGGAAGGAGAGAGCAGCCGGGGTGATGGCTCCCAGCAGGGCTCCTTGGTGCATGGGCTGCCGTCCCCCAGCCCTGCTCCTGCATGGGTGCAGAGGCCTTGGGCTGTCCCTGGACCTGAAGCGAGGCCAAATAAAAAGTCATTAAGGGCATGGAGGAGCAGAGGCCCCTGGCAAGCCAGGCACGGGGGTGCCCTGCACCAAGCATGGCAGCGGCTGAGCATTCGGGTCCCTGTGCCAGGTGCTGTCGCCACCCTCACATCTGCCCCCTGCTCAGCCACCTCTGGCCAGGACAGGTGTTTCCTGGAGGCCCCCTGTGCCCACGGCGCAGGGTGTGTGTGAGGCAGGGCACCCACGGGGCAGGATGTGGCACAGGGTGTGTATGCGGTGCAGGGGGTGTGGGTGGCACAGAGCAGCAGCCGTGCAGGGTGCCCGCGGTGCAGCGGGTGCCAGGCGTGTGCAGTGCAGAGGGTGCAGGGTGCCCATGGTGCGGGACCTGTGCGGTGCCCGGGATGTGCATGGCACTGGGTGCAATGGGTGGCACAGGGTGCCAAGCGCATGCAGTGCTGAGCGTGTGCAGGGTGCCCTCAGGGCAGGATGTGTGCGGCACGGGCTGTGGGTGGCACGGGGTGCCACAGTGCAGGATGCACGTGGCGCGACGTGTGTGTGGCACAGGGGCTGTGGGTGGCACGGGGTGCTCTGGGCACCCATGGTGCAGGGTATAGATGCAGCCCAATGCAGGACATGTGTGTGTGCACTGGGGTG